GCGGGCTCGATCCCCAGTAGGGGGTGTGCAGGAGGCAGACGATTCACGATTCTCTCGCATCATTGATGTTTCTCTCTCTCTCCCTCCTTTGCCCTTCCTCTCTGAAATCAATAAAAATATATTTAAAACAAACAAACAAACAAAAACCCAACTCTGTGAGGCAGGTGAGATCCCATTGCTCAGAGAGGGAGAACTGAACTTGGAGAAATGAAGTCCTTGACCAAGGTCACCCAACCTGGAGTGTGGACTCAAGCCATCAAAACACAGTCATAACCCCTTGCTCAATTCCAGAACCAAAGCCTTCAAGCCTCTTGACATGCCACCTGGTTCTTGAACTGCTGAGGCTGAGCAGCCAGGTGGGTCTCTGTCCCTAACAGCCTACACCACCTTGTCACTTGATCTGGTCAGAGAACAGTTCCCCTGTCCAGCTCTGCAAGTGGACACCTTACCTTTCTCCAAGCACTTGGCTCGGTTGGGTTTGGGAGAGCAGAGTGAACACAAGACCTTCCAGGGCCCGTCATGCTGGAGCGAGGCTCTCTCTGGGGGCACGGGAGCTTGCCTCTGCCCCTTCAAGAATGAGAATTTGAGTCCGAGAGATGGGGATCTGGAAGAGGAGGTGTTTCGACCAGGGCCAGTCATGGGCTTGGGAGGTTTCCCACTTCCCTGTTTGGTCCTCTCTCCCATCTTGGTCTCAAGGGCTGGTGCAGCAGGAGGAGAAGCTGGGCACAGCTGGGGACAGGATGCTTGTTTTTGCCCAGGTCTGAGCTGGACCACATTCTCTGGGTTTCCCAGAGGTCCCTGCCTCTTGGAGGCAGCTGACTCCTCTGAGACATCCGTCCTGAGGCCAGAGGCACAGCGCAGTGGGTTCTCACGGACATTGAGGTAGGGCTCCTGGGGCTGGCGCTCTAAGTTGTGGGAGGGGGCTTTATGGTTGACCTTTCTCTTCAAGCTCAAAACGCAGGGATCTTCCTCCAAGCTTGCTGGCTTTGCACAAGCACACTTTCCCAGGGGGGGTCCCCCACTGGCCCCTGAGAGAGGCAGCATCCTTTGGGACAGAGGGATTTCTTTAATTCCAGATAGCTCCTCCAGTGCCCCAATAGGACACCCACGGGATGTGTTCACCTCCCTACTCACAGGCTCTCCTCTGCTCTCTTGGGAAAAGTCCAGGAGAGCCACATACTCTCCCTCCAAGTTCTGGCTGGCCACATCGTCCATCCTGAAGGCCACCTCCCCAGGCCTGGCTTGCTCCACCTTGATAAGTCCGGGGTACTTACTCTCATATGTCTCGTCTTTACCCTTGGCCAAGCTCTGCCCAAGCAGCACCTGGCTGCCTGGAGACCTGACCTGGTGCAGCTCTTGGGGGCCACTCAAATCCAGTGCCTCTAGTTGAAGGGAACCCCAGGCCCGGGAGAGAACAGTCACTGCTTGGGGTTTGTCATCCACAAACGCTGGGCTGGTTATCTTGGTCCAGGGCACAGGAACAATCCCCTCTTCTGAAGCTACCAGGCAGTTGTGTAGGGGACTTCCCTCAAAGTCATTGTTGAAGGCCTCCAGCCATTCCTGGGTGAACAGTGTCGGGTAGGACGACACGGGAACAGGCTTCGTGTCCACTGTGCGGAGGTCTAACGAGAGGCACTTGATCATGATGCAGACAGACTGCTCCTCCTGAGGCTCAACTTGAAGGTAGAAGTCACTCTGGCGCAATAAGAGGGGGTTGAGGGGGGCCAGGTGGACCACAACCTTGTCCTGCAGGCACAGCGGCCAGCCCTGATGCAGGAAGAGGCAGTGTGTATAGGGGGCCTGCAGAGAGAAGGGGATAATGTCAGAGAACCTGACCCTGAAAACCCCACCTGTGGATCTGCTCCCTTTCCTCTCCAAGAAGGAATCTTGAACAGGTTGGGGGCTAAGGTGAGGCCAGAGAGGTGCCGAGGATATAACATCTAAGGAAGCCCCGCTGTCAGGGTCCTATAAGTCGCACAGCCCTGAGAATGAGTGCCTCTGACATGTACCTTCGATGCCTCTTGTCTCACCCTGGTCTTGGCCCTGACCTTAAAAATACTTGCTAACCTACTGGTCCAAGAGAGAAAAGCTTGAGTTCTAGGCACTAGTTAGCAAGTCCATTATCCATGAGGATTGCCCTATTGACTCATGCTCTCTTCTCCTCCCCATCTATCAAGCCTGAGCCTTCCCTGATAATCTTATATAATCTGGCCGCTGTGATTGGTCCAGGGATGGACATAGGACCCAAGCCTGGCCAATCAGGATCCTTCCTTGCAATTTTTCTATCTGCAGCTGATGGGAAAGAATTCATCTTCCCTTCCAGGAGATGGTTTGAACCCAGAGCGGTCCTGGGCTCCAGCCCTGCGGGAACACTTAACCTCTAAGAATGACGCTGGCAAGCAAGGAGAAGCAGAGACGGAGACAGAAGGTCCTTAAGGAAATTGATCGGTGGATAAATTTGGGCCAGAGGCCAGAGCACCCTGCCCCTGTCTGAGGAAGGACCCATCATTTGCAGTCAATGAGTCCTGCCTAAGACACTTTTCTTTCCATTTGCCTCAGGAGCTGCCTCCCTGCGATCTGGGTTTGAAGGGATCTCGGAAGAGAGGCCTCAAGGGCTTCAGAAGAGGTCTGGAACATTCTGTTATTTCTATTGAAGCTGTTCTACTACAGCCAAGGCAGCCTGGCAATGCCCACAATGCCAACCCCAAGGCAGGCTCCTGGGGGCCGGGGAACCCACACGAACCTTTATCCATGCCTTCCTCCCTGCTAGTGAAAGTGCAAACACAACGGGCTCCCGGATGTCAGAGAGTAAAGGGCCAGTGGCCCTCCTGCTCCATTTGGAGGGCATCCTTTGGGACTTACACAGGCTGCTTCTCGGACTTGCTCACATAGGCGCTTGGCAGGGATCAGGAAATCCAGGAGGAAGCTCAGCCCGTCCCCCTGGAAGTCAGCGTCCAGGAGGTGGAACACCTGACCCAGGACAGTGGGCGCTGTGGCCTCAAAAGGAGGGTAGAGGCCTGCCAGGGCGTTCTGGATGGCTGTGTCCAGGGATGGAGGGTCCTGGGGGGACAGGAGAGGAGGATAAAAGTGATAGTAGCAGTAATTACAAGGGTAGAAGCCACTTCCCATGACTTTCCAGGCCCCATATGACTAAGGACCCGGTAACTCTCTGACCTCCTCTCCTGCTCCTTCCCCTCACTCACCTCCTCCAGCCACACTGGTTTCCTTCCTGTTCCTCCACTCGTGACCATCTCACCTCAGAGCCTTTGTACCGGCCGTTCCCTCTGCCTAGAATACTCTTCCTCAAGACATCCTCATTGCCTCACTTCCTGCAGGTCTTTGCTCAAGCATCACTCTCTAGTCCAAGGTGGAATGGAGGAATGAAAGAAGGCATCCAGGTCAGGGTCAGAGGGAAAGGGAAGGTCAGCATCTGCCAATCCCACCACCTGGGTGACCTGCAGACCTGCATTTTGAAGCTGAGCTACCAGTGAATCTGAGCCTAGATCAGACAACCCCAGTCAGTATGCAAGTGCCTGAGTGATAAGTGGCTGTTTTTTACTACTGAGTTTTGGGGTGATTTGTTACACAGCAATAACTAATTGATACAAGTCTGTATAATTAACATATGAGTTGCAGATTCGTATATCCAGCTCCTTTCTGGACACTTCCCCTAGAGATCTACCAGACATAGACCATCAACATATTAAACTCAACTCAGTACCTTCCTTAGCCTACTCCTTCCCCCCCCCCACTCCCCACTGTGTCCCCACCTCAGTAATGAGCCCACCATCCAATCAGCTGCTAGGCCAAGAAGTCTGCTTATCATGCTACCCCCTCCTCCTGCCTCCCCTGCCCACAAACAGCCCTTGGCCATGTCCTGTACAGTCTTCTTGCCTCCAACAGCTCACCAACACACCCGCTCTGCTCTGTTCTGCTCCCCTGACCCTGCCCTGATCCAGGTCTCCATCACCTGTTCCATCGAATCACCTCCTCATTGGCTTCCAACCTCTAGTCAGCCTCACTTCCAGCCACTCTACCAGGACCCCCGACTTTCTCAAATGTAAGCCTGACCTCCTCAGTCTCCTACTCAAAACCTTAAAGGTCCCCCAGTGCCTTCAGAAACCATCAGCCTCCAGGCATCCAGACCCTCTGTGATCTTGCTACTGTGCGCCTCTCTGTCATAGCAATTCCCACACTGATTGTTGACTCTCTCAATGGACTCCAGGCTCCCTGAGAACAGGAATGGCAAGCAGAATAAGGGTCCCCTAAGATGCCCATAGCCTAGTCTCTGGTGCCCTGACCGGTTTGGCTCAGTGAATAGACTAGACGGCCTGCGGACTGTGGGGTCCCAGGTTAAATTCCGGTCAAGGACATGTACCTTGGTTGCGGGTACATCCCCAGTAGGGGGTGTGCAAGAGGCAACTGAGTGATATTTCTCACTGAGGGATGTTTCTAACTCTCTATCCCTCTCCCTTCCTCTCTGTAAAAAAATCAATAAAATATATTTTTTAAAAAAAGGTTCC